GCAATGTACGGACCGGCCGATGTCTTTCCACACAATGAAGGCCTTAATCAGGAGAGAATTCCAGACCTCAAGGTTCAACGAACTTATAGCTCGAACAAAGAAGAAACAGTGGACAGTGGTACTCTCCGACATACCCGACTGGCCAAGAATCGAAGCCGTTGCTGAGTTTAGACTACGTACCGGACACGATTGGTTGGCAAAACACCTTCACAGTTTGGGAGTATACACTCAACCCACATGCCCTCTATGTAACCTTCATGAGGAAATGAATAAGACCCACCTGATTCGATGTCCAGCCCTAAAGACAACGACGGAAAGCCAGAGATACTGGGAAGCAAGAAGACAGCTAATGAACTGCTATTAATTAACTGCTATAAATGTACCCCCCCCCCCTCTTGGGGGAAGCTGAAGTCAAAGATTAAGGGCTAATGATAAATATCATAAAGCCTGCAATTTGAAATAAATAAATAATTGCTCCAAATTACTCATCCTTTTTACTTAAGAATTGGGGTGGCGACAATTTCGTAAGCACAAAAATATGGGTACAGCTGACATGACTAAAGTTATGTTTATGCGCAATAGTTATTTGCCCAACCAGTTTACAATAGCGATGGAAACTCGAAGCAACAAAATACTCAACTCCCAATGATTAATAGTTAATGAACAGTGATTGAAACCCTACCACGAACTCAAATCCCGCTGCAGATTGAGCACAATGCTTCAATTAGATTTTTTGGATGGTTAGTCATGACAAATATCTCTCTTTATCAGATATTCATTACTTGCATACCCCCCCCCCCCTAAAAGTCATATTGGTAAAAGTTGATAAAGTTAGTGGATATGCTACAGAAAAAACTAAATCTCCAACATGATTACTGAGCAGCTATGAAACCCTTGTTTGCAGACTGTCCCCACATTGATAGAAAAGAATTCATCTGGCACAAACCAGACTGGCCAATAATTAGTTTCCAAGGCCCACAAATGGGTCTTAATGAAATAAAACTGAAGACATTTGTGGTCCCATATAATAAACCTGGTTAAAAGAATAACACGAATAATCGTCGCAAAGAATTTACTACTTTTTTCTTAAATAAATCAGTCGAAATCACCTCTGCACATTCTCTCTAACTATTAAATACAGGCACTTCTTTCTAGTTGCCTACTTGACGCCTATTATTTCAGTTTACCTAAACACATCCGGAACCAACAGCCATCAAATTAAGCTCCAACAGAACTAAAAGACCTTTTTTTAAATTGAGAAGGTCAAGAGGACAAAATCGACTCAATGTCTTCTAAGATTCATGAAATAATTCGTTTTTTATGGAATTAAAATTTATGCAACTGTTCATTATCTTTCGTTCAAAGATGATGGGAGTGTCACCTCATTCAATTTTCTTGGTTTCTAATTACGCAATATCGGATTACTGAGAAGCCTAATTTCCCAAAATTTTTCATTCATCAGGCGTCCTCTGGGTTGGAGTAAATGATTGGCTACGAGTTCAATGGCTTATTAACCAGATTTTTAACCATTTTCTTCTAATCATTGAGATGTCAGGTGACCTCACGTGGTGTTGAGTAGTAAACAGTTAATATGGTAGGAAAATCTTAAAGTTAGGAGTTCCATTAATGTGTGATTCAATAAAATAAATGATAGTCAAATAAAGGAAATTCGTTTCCTTTAATGGTAAATGTGATCAAAGATTCAATTCACCACTCTAATCCGATCAACTGCACACTTCAAGTCCACCTACAAATGATACGACTACACTGGAATCCCTGGGGTGTGTGAAAGACTTACCTCCACGTGGTGCACCCTGGGCAACGTATACTCATACGGCAAAAAAGTCTACTAACCGGCAGTTGACTTCTCTCTTCAAACTACCATGGCCCGACTATTTGTCATATTCGACTACTTCCACAGTACTCATCTTACCTTTTTCTCTACCTTTGTGTCTGTCTCCCTCTTTTACATCTGTGAATCGCTCTTCTGTATCCCACCCCTCGACTTTCTGCTACTTTGATGAACCTGCCTTCTGTGAAACCCGAAGTCAGCTAAATGGCTAATGATAGCTATCATAACGCCTGCCATTTGAAATAAATAAATAAAGTGAGGTTATAGGAACTGGTCGAGCAGCATGCTTGTCATTTCGCTTGTGATAGGACCGGTTTTTCGTTTTAAAAATTCTTAAATATGGAAAATTTTCACTGTTGGGAAAGACTGTCGTTTACCACGTTATATAAGCTTAATAGTACCACATTGTTGAGTGAACAATGCTGTCATGGTTGATTAACGAAATCTCATGTGCACTCAGACAGACTGGAAGATACGACGCGTGGGGTAGAAGTGCGATCGTGAGTGCAGATACCTCTTAGCTATTCACCGATCAAGAGTGCCTGCATTGTTAAGAAAAGCCTTCATTGCATTAGAATGGCCGAGCTTCGTATCAGTGACACACGTCCCCAAATGAACAAGGTCTACAACCCTGTTGAGGGGGAGAAAACGACCAAGTTTGTTGGTGTGTTGCAATTCGCTACAACTTCCCACGATATCCTATTCAAAAGCCCACAAAGGTATAAACTCCTTTGTGTTAATTTATAACTAGGCAAATCCCTCATTGAAGTCGAAAACTTTTGGACATTTTAAACAATTTTTAGCTTCGATGAAAACCGGGCTTGGCAGTCACTGGTGTGAGTATTCAGACGGAAAATCTCTAGGCATCTAAGCGTTTAAGAGTGTGCCAGGTTGCCACTGCTTCATAAAAATCGGAAGGCATTTTTGTGAATTGAAATGCTGAAGTACAGCAAAAGGCACGCGATAAGAACAATGCAAAAGCCATATCTAAGAATATAAATTTGAGTGGTGGAATTGAAAGCGTATTATGGAAGGTAACACAATGTCCACTTCTGAGTGTTCTACTAGTAAAGATTTATTTATATCAAATGGCAGGCTTTATGATAGTTATCATTAGCCCTTTAGTTGACTTAAGGCTTCACAGAGAGAGGAGGAGGAATATCAAATCGAAAAAAAGTCGAGAGGGGAGGGTGAACAGAAGAATGTTTTAAAGATGTAAAAGAGACAGACACAAAGGTAGAAAAAAGGTGAGGTGAGCATTGTGGAAGAAGTCGACAATGACATACAGTGGGGTGATGGTAGTTTGAAGTGAGAAGTCAACTGCCGGTTTATAGACTTTGCCGCATGAGTATACGTTGCCCAGGGTGCACCACGTGGAGGTAAGTCTATCGCACACCCCCTACTAGTAAAAATTTAAATAATTGCCGCTGAAAAATAGGAATACACTCCTTCATTATCCTAGCTATCAGTCACCCCCCCCCCCTCCCACTTAAATACAATTTCATCCGCAATGGTAATTGGAGCAGAGCAGTGACTTAAATCCAGAACACAAATTGTATTGGAAATCAAATTACTATTCTATGCGAACAGAGCACATGCCTTTTTGCATATACAAAACCAAATTACATCCCAACCAATTCAGCAGTAGAATTCAGTCAATTTAAAAAATACGCATAAAAGACTACAGAGGGAGGAGGGCCCAAAGGAGGGGAAGAAGAGAGGGCGGGGCGGGGCTTTGCAGCAAATATCAATGCACAAAATTTGAACATTTTTATACACAACTGAGAAGATAGAGTTGTTATACAGAAAATGAAGAGCAAACTGAATTCAAAGGAAGTATGGGGTGATACGGGCCGGTGGGATCACACGTTCATCATCTGGGACAGCATCAAAAACCTTGAATTCAAACTCCTTGGGTGTCTGGATATCCAAAATGGAGGCCACGTTTCCACAACGGTAGCAGTAATTTGGAACTGACCAGACGGTTACCAGCTTGCCGTCAAACATGGATTTATGTCCCTCCATTACAAGTTGGTGCGCTCGACATATGAAATCCAGTCCATTTAGGGTTACAAACTTCTCGGTCACCTAGAGGAATAAGTATAAAAGCAATCCATTCTGTCCAGGATATATGAAGATCTTAGGAGTTTCATGAACAGTTCTTACGTTTTATCGTGTTTTACGCTGTTTCGGATTACTCAATTTTTTTTAAATTAGCAATTTAATTTGTTTTAATCACATAACTTCAACGAAACTAAAGTTTGCTCTATCTTACTTCGCCAAGTTTAAGGCTACACCTTTATTCTGCGCTCTCTTTCAGCACAATTTTGATAGAGAAGCTGATCGAAGCTCGGCAGGGCAGACCTTGCATCTCAAGAAACAAAATGACCCGAGGGAAATAGATGATGGAAAAATTTCACTGTTAACTCAAAATCGATGCAAAATAGAAAAAAAGGTTCTGAAATATTCGCATTGGATGCAGCTTAATTTAGATAGAATAAATTAAAAGCGATTCATTGTCACGTAATATGATAGCCAACATTATCAATTGAAGATGATATCATTTGTGATTATGTACAAATCTTCCATAAATAAATAACTACAGCTATAAATACAATTTATTCTACACAATTTAAATTCAGACATGATTTTTCGCTCAAATTTCACACGATGAATTACAACTCACACGTTACGTTTACAATTGAATTGAGAATAACTAATTCTATTTCAATAAAAAAACAATCGTATTGAAAAACAAACAGCATATTACGGCGAAACCGCTATAAGTAACAAATTAACTTGTTTAAAGCTGCAAAGCGGAGCATATCAAATGTCCGATTCTACTAGAAACTATTTTAAGCCAGTAAGAAAAAGAAAAGGTAAGTGGGAAATAATGTAAAAACACTCATTCACCAGTCCAAGTTTACAGACAAAAACAGAGGGCTTTATCAACCATCCTCATAACGGTAATTGGTCAAGGTTATGAGAAATGAGACGCATTAAAATAAGCACTTACTTCCTCCCCAAACAAGAATCCAGCCCCGCGAGGACTAACAGTCCAAGTTGAAACATTTTCTGGATCAGACCAGAGAAGATCACACAAAGGTCCACTGTGAGGAACTTCCACATTCCGTTCAATAGTTCTGATTTGATCAATAGTCTTGGTTTCGGGAGAAAGGCCGCCATGAACGCAAAAGATTGTTTCATCAATTAGAGCCGCGATAGTTAAGAGATCAAAAACTTTGCAACAATTTTTCCAGGGATTAGCATTGCCATATTTGGTTATACATTCGTCATAGAACCCATAAACCTAATACAAAATTATGGAAATAAAAAGCTATCGTGGCTATTACCTGAGTTATTTGTCGGCTTTCGTGATTTCCTCGTAAAAGGGTGATTTTATCAGGATACCTAGCCTTTAGCGCCATAAGAAGAGTGAACGTTTCAAGGCTATAGTGTCCACGATCTACAAAATCGCCCATAAATATATAATTCGTATTGGGTAGCTCTCCCCCAACTTTAAACAATTTTAGTAAGTCGTAAAATTGTCCATGGATATCACCGCAAACGGTAACAGGTGTTGATACGGGCTGGACATTGCATTCTTCCAAAAGCAAATCGCTGACATAATCGCATAATTTTCGAAGTTCTGGTTCAGGTAGATACTTACATTGTCGAATCGTTTCGATCCAACCATCAAGAGATTCGGCCAGCATCATAAAATTTATTATGGATAGCAAGAACCTGGTTGGACTAAGAGCTACGATTCAAATCTGCGGACAAGCTGCAAGTTATAAAAACAATATAGAATTCTGCCTTCAAATAAAGTCTTCTGAAAATAAAAAAATTGTTCTTACATATTTTTGATTGTGTATGTGCTCAAATGACAAATTTAAATCAAGTTTTGCTAAAAAACTGATAATTAAATATCATTTAGATTTGACTCATTAAATGAGCTTTCCAGAACGGTTAATGAAGTTATTCGCATCTTTGAATATTCCAAAAAGAAATAACTCAAAACAACCTTAAGAACTTTTCATGTCTTTCTAACTCAAGATTAAATATTAGCAAAGTTTTACGGCACCCTGCGAAGGTGTTGACGATCTGCATATGAGTATGAAATATGGACCTAATTCTCATTAAATATTTTGTTGTATTCATGGTTGAATACGAAAGAGAGTAATTTTTTACTTGCTCTGGTTATATGATGGTGCAATAAATTACCGGAACTGTCTAGGGCACATTGGTGACCAGGCTAAATTATGTTTCTCGAAATGGGGTGTACGATAGACTTCTGTCTTCAAGCTATCATCACCCCACTATATGTCATATTCGACTTCTTCCACATTACCTCACCTCACCTTATTTCTACCTTTGTGTCTGTTTCTTTTACATCTTTGAAATACTTTTCTGTCCCCCCCTCCCCCTCTCTACTTTTTTTCACTTTGATATTCCTTCCCCCCTGTGAAGCCTGAAATCAACTAAAGAGCTAATGATAAATATCAAAACGCCTGCCATTTGATATTAATAAATATTTCTCTAAATTTGAACCCAGTAAGGTGCATTAGCATGTCTCCGTCTTAGTTAAGCAGTCTCTGTGGTATCATCAGCAATTCTACTAACTGATCCTCTATTTATATGAAATAGGTCATAGTCTAGTTCTTAAATATTTTCAAGCCTGTTTACTAATTATTTGAATTAACTGATTGTTGAAAATTTCGATTTGAGGAATTTCATCAGGATTCTGACACAATTTGCCCATTTTTCACAAATGGGACTAGGTCCCAATGTAATACTTATGCCTTTCCACATTTCTTAGGGAAGTTTACTTTCTACTAAATTAGTTGGCTTTTGATCGGTAAATGTTGAACAATTATTGATCTAACCAAGACCATTTTCTCAGGATTAAATGATTATTCATGAATTAATTAATATTATTAATAAATCTTATTCGGGTAAAAAGGTATATAAAGCTTTCTACAAACATTTTCCTCACAAAATAAGAAGAGTTCTTCATTCTAATCTGGTTTTTCTGCTTTTCTCCCTAAATTCAAGAATTGCAGCATTGAAAAATTGTGAGAGAGCTGTCACTTGCTCTCTCATTGCATCTGTCCGTTGAATACTTGGTGGAAGACGAGCGAAAAATCTATCCGGATGCCAATCTACTTGCAGCTGTCTCAAATGAACCATATTTTTCCCAACAAAGCGTGCCAAGTCATCCATGTCACCAACTTTAACCGGTGGCCACGGAATTGCTCCACTTTCTCCACTTTGGAGGAAAGTGCGCCACTGTTTTGAGTAATGCTCATATGATGGCGAAGTTGTGTGATTAATAGGCAGTGAAAATGCAATCCCACGTCTCCTGAGTCCCTCTGCATGTTTTCGTCGAAATTCATCAGCTTTTCTTGCGGCTTCATCTGCATTAATTCTGGCACTAGTAGATGGTCGACTTGCTTCTTCAGTTAATTTCCTCCTTGTTTGCTCTCTACATTTTCGCTCATATTGCTTACGAATTTCATCAAAGAAGTCTCCTGATGAAGTCCCCGGGTCGACAAAGCCTAAAACATACAACAACAACAACTTTACTCATTTCTTATAAGTAGGGAGTTTAGTAAAGTCATTCGTTTTACAGAGATAGAGTTAGAACAAATTAGCCAACTTTATGTCCCATAAAAAGCAAGCGTTTGGAGGTCTTTTGAAGCTTGACTCTCGGCATAGAGAGACATTAAAAGGAGGCAATTTTCAAAGGAGCAAAACATCTAAGCAAGTAACAGTTTCTAAAGCACACTTTTTAAGTAGCAATTCCGACAATCACAAATGATGATTACCAACTGTTTGGCGTAGCCGCAAGCAATGAGATGGTTCGTGTAGCATTGGGATTGTTTCGAAAAGCACGTGTCAATGAGAGTTTCCTCGTGTGTCGCAAGGTGTATAAAACCTGTCTGATTGCCACATAGCGAGGCCTCAAACACGACTGCGACCGTCTTTTATATTTATCATTCACAATTAGATTCGGGAGCACTATTTCATTAAACTTAACAAAATTAGCATTTGGAACGGCCGTTTTAACAGCAAAGAAAACGACGTTATCTAATGAGTGTTTATGAATTTTCCCATACGTTATGCCAAAATAGATCAGTAACGTGAGATGAACAGGAAACATAAAGTTAGAACATCACATTGAAAAGGAAGTGATTGACAGCCCACTGATTTCCGAGATACAAATAATTTTAATGAATATGTGAGGAGCATTTGCAGTACAAATTCAGAAACAGACAGAAACAATCTTACTTAGAAGCGTTACCGCATTCTCAACCTAAGAATGTGTTTGGAGGTAACAATTTCTACAAAAATTTAAAGCGAAAACGATTGGAAAATTACCATGGAAAGTGACAAGGAGAAAAAGAGACACTCTAAAGTGCAGAGTGCAGTTATCAAAATGCGATGCACAAAAAAAAGATAAACTAATATCGATTTCAATGAACAGCAGGAGGCGCAGTTTGTACAAATCGACCCGGAACGATGTACAAGGTCAAGTGCAAGTGTGGATTTGACTTCAAAGGCACCCATCCCATTGGTGAATTCCTCAAGTCTTGCTGTGCGGCCATTAAGGTCAGGAGGTGTAAAATGTTAAAATCGATTTTTACACTTTATCACCCCTCTAATACCGCACTTCAAAGGGTGCGATGGCCGTACTTTCATTTTTATTCTACTATCAACCTCAACGTTAACGACTCTCAACTAACTTATCGATTTTTATCCTCATCCTTTTCTATCTACCCGAATATTGCACTTTATATTTATCTATTTATGATACATTCCTGTTGTACTTAGTTGATTACCGATTCGTTGTACACTGGTTTATTTGGCGCATATTAAACTTCTCATTATTCTACCTGTGCACATGGGGCGCGCGGTAGACTTACCTCCACGTGGTGCACCCTGGGCAACGTATACTCATTGGCAAAAAAAGTTTATTAATCGGCAGTTGACTTCCGACTTCAAACCGCCATGACCCCACTATATGTCAAATTCGACCACTTCAACAGTACTCGTTTTACTTCTTCTCTGCGTTTGTGCCCAGCTGTCTCTTTACTTCTGTAAATCACTCTTCTGTTCCCCATCTCTAATTTTTCCCACTATGATGTTCCTCCCCCCCCTCTGTGAAGTCCGAAGTCTGCTAAAGGGCTAATGATAAGAATCAAAACGCCTGCCATTTGAAATAAATACCTGTGCACATTTTTCACTTTAATAGCTTTAAGATAGACAACTGCTCATATTCTCCCCTATCTTCTTCTGGTGTGTAAGAAATTCGAGGCTCTACCCATAAGATTGGCTTTCCACTTCCTCCACTACTACTACTACTACTGTTCTTTGCTATTTCCAAGCCCTGGCCTTCTCACTGAGCAGATGCAAACCTGTGATTTATGATCCCAAGGAGAGTATGAAAGAATCAAATGATTTATACTCAGGTGACACACCAGCCCCATGAAAGAAGTGGGATTTAATAAAGCTTTCTCCCAAGGAGGAGGAGGAGGAGGTGGTGGTGGTGGTGGCATATAAGCTCAATTAGGCATTTTATGACAGTCAATTACGACGTTGTCAGTAAATTACTGCCAATTTTAAATATACTACTTTAGCAGAAATATCAGCAGAAATGAAATAGCTGACAATTAAATGACGCTGGATGTGAAAGAAAAATTCATTAGGAAAGCAGAGAGAGAGAGAGCCTGAGGGTCTATGTGTCCAAAGACCTTCCAAATCTATACATGCGGATGCAATGGCCATAATTTAATATATATATATATATAGTAAATAGAGTTTCACTGCGGAATTACAACGTGGAAACGAAGCACTCGAGAAAAATCAAAACCGAATCGCTTTAAAAACAATGTACCAACAAAACAGAGTCCTACTATTATTACTAATAGTAGTATTATTGTCATTTTACTTCGAGACAAAGCAGAAATGTTTGCGCTATATATCGTGAGAAAGCACCTGAAAATTGCCTTCAGCAAAGTCCTATTTTAACCCCAATCACCCTCCACTAATGACAGGGGATCAAGCAAGCTGGCCGTTAACCCAATTTTTAGCCACGAGAGGACCTATACTTTTGACTTATTTTACCAATAGCAATAAAAAAATTCATTTTTTTTTAATTTTCAGGGACTAAGGCTTTTATCCTAACTCTTGAACTAACCGGAAGACCTAAGGGTTTCGTGGAATATTACGAAGGGTTTCATGGATTGCTGAGATAAATCTCTGGAGTTCCATTGCTTCCAAGCGATGTGAGGTCAAAATAATTCAAGATAATGTGATGAATTTGCAGAGTGCAGTGAGTAGAGGTAGACCTAGTCGGGTACTCAAGATTGGCTATCGATATCCCCTCTAAACGGCTTGCTGCCTCGCCGAGCTCAGATAATATCTGCCCACGTACCAGTTGACCAATGATCACCTGCGAAAACACCTGGACTGGTTACAGTGGTCTTCTTGGAACATACGAGTGAACAAGGAAAAGGAACTCTTCGAGAATCCCTTTTTTGTTCTTCCTACCTCATGTGACTTCTGGAGTGTTCAATTCAGGGTGTCAAGGCATTGCTCTGTCTGGACATTTGATCGCTGAAAGTATGGTGGAGAAAAGACGTGGGTGATATTACAACTTCGACATTAGTCTTGAAAGAAGGCCGAAGAGAACTGGGTGTCTTCATAGGCTGTAGTAGTATGAAAGATGAATTCTTTATGCGTTTCCAAAATGTGTACCCGGTTCGTCACTACTGACTAAAGCATCGTTATCTCTGCCTCACAGTGGGTACTTAATCCTGCCGTGACCTCAAGTCCTCAGTAGAGAACTCTCAAGTGTCCTCAAGTGGTACATTTGAATCAGAGGGATAGGTTAATTACGTGGTTATTAAATGAGCCTCGCTAGGTTGAAGTATCCTGGCCAGCGATATTCACAATCACTCCACCGTTTATGCTATTCACTCTCTTTAAAACCATATAGAGCCCCCCCCCCCTTAAACAAACACAGGGACCCACGCTTGTGATTTGCCAGCTCATCAGTTCTCCTTAACTTTCATTCTTCTGGATCCCCATCGTGGTTTACCCAATAGACCTAGACTAAACGACCCTCATATATTCTATATATATATATATCACTTCTACAAGTCCACGAGTTAAAAATATAAGACTACGACAGTCGATTAATATGGAAGTTGTTGTGAGAAGGGATATGAGGGCCCATGGTCAGATCCAGCATAAATCAAGTGTACTTGGAACTACGGCGATATGAGTTTGCACAAGGAAATAATTTACTGATGTGAGGGAAGCCTGGGCGCTTGTTGGCATTTGAAACAATTTTTAAACAACTGCCTCGATGATCTAATAATCCATTCCAGTCGAGTGTACAAACACTCTCGCGAAAGACACCCTGACTGCTATTATAGAACTGCTTTAATATAGTTCTAGTTGATGCTGAAAGGAGGGAAGACACATTGGGCATGAAGTAGTCACGGTTACATTGCCACATAGTCTATAAAGTTGCAGTAGATAGGCCCTTTGATATGATTTAGCAATCCTGCGCACATGCATGTCATGGTCTTCTTCAGCACACCCACTTTAAGGAGTGTAGAGTGCATAACAAATTCCTCTACTCGATGTCAAGTGCTTATTAATCCTCTGATTAATTACGATAGCAAATTTTTCAGTTAGAAAAAACTTTATCTTTCTCAAATGACAGAGAAGGGCAGAGTGACTTGGCATGACGCGGGGGGGGGGGGGGGGGGTGAATANTGGGGCGGGGGGGGGGGGGGGGGGGGCGGGTTGAATAGAACACTATTCTATATATCAGGCTCTAAGGGGTGTTTAAGGAAAAGTGGTGGTACCAATCGCAAAGAAGACCTCGTTTTAAGATGGAAGTCGTCACCTCCGACATTATGTCCTCCCTGTCAAAACCGTTCCCTTGATATGACCTTTAGAGATCAAGCGAACTAAATAGATAGAGGAAGAAGATTAAAGCTTAACTGAAAGTAGCATCACGTATACTACTAATTGGTTTTCTTTTGTGACTTAACACTTTCCAAGGGGACGTTACTTCTTAGACCGGAGTGAAAACTGATTTTGAAGCCACAATCTTCAAAACTACGGAGTCTGATCTCGATTATTCGACAAAATGCTATAGTGAATCGAAAGAATTGGCTTATTATGACATTATAAACGGCGTGCTTTTTTTCGAACTCAACAGACCCAGCTTTTAAAACCTCAAAATCACGTTCCCTTTCTTGACTTCTTGTCAAATTGGTCAAAACCGCTCACGCAAAAAAGCCCTTCAATAATAGAGAGAAAAAAAACACCAAGTGTTTTTAACTGAGTTACATTATGCAATTAAGTAATTATTTATTCAGTTGGGGAACAGTTTCCCTCTCTCCCCACCCCACCCCACCCCACCCCACCCCACTCCACCCCCTCCAATCCCAATGGCGGATGTGTATTTCCATTAACAGCTTAGATAAATGGTTTTTGTAGGCTCAAGGATGCATGAAAGCGCAGGAAAAAAAGGGGGGGGGGGGGAAGGA